CCGAATTTATTGAATTTCTTGGGATTTGACAGTGTATGTATTATGATGACGGAGCTTTTAATATGTGTTTGGAGAAGGTGTATATTTGCTCGAGTTGTATTTTGGGTGCTTGACAAAAAAAAAAAGAATAAAAAAATAGGAACTCGCAAGACGGACTAAAGGTTTCTACTCCGCTTACTTGTGAGATTTTCACGAGTAATGAGTATTGGGAAACCACTATAGGAAACTTGGATGACCTCCAATGTTTAAACCTAGAGAATGTCGTCCTTACGTTTCAGTCTTGTTAGGAAAAAGCAATTTCCCTAAAAATAAAAAAATATATATAATAAAAAAAAGAAGAGTCGAGTTCAGTTTGAGCATATGCGAGTATTGAATTGAGTCTTGATGGAAATGGTTAGTATCATGTTGATGTTGGATGAGTGGTAAGGTGTTCGAGTTAATTATATGCTCGAGGGTTTGATTGTTTATTTGAGTCACTCTATCCTTATATTTTTCCTCCCTTTGATGCCTGCAGTTCAACCTTGAAAGTCCTCTTGATTTACAGTTCATGATCTTTGGTTGTTTTAGAGTATGAGTAGATGATAAGCAAGCTTATGTTGATGCATGATGATCGACCAATTTGAGCGAACCCATTTCATATTCATGTAAGGAACCGAGTATGAGGCATATACATATTTTTCTTCCATGCTTGAGAGTTTGTCTTTTCAAGCGTTGCATTTGAGTTGTAATTGAGGTATGCATGATTGGTCATTGGAAGTTTCCTCGACTAAGTTAATTAATCTGAGACATGTCTTATTTGAAACTATTATCCATGCTCGTTTGCTTGTTTTCGTGTCTTTTCTTTTCTTTTTGTTCGGGACGAACAAAGGTTTTAGTGTGGGGGAGTTGTTTGTCCCATTTTGTTGTGTTTTTCGTTGTGTTTTTGCCGTTCTTTTTCCCCGTATTGAGTCGTTTAGGTGGCTTTAGGATCTTTTTGTCATTTATTATGTGTTTTGCGTTCATTTGAGTGTTGCGGTGTTTTCCGTTTGTTTTCCGGTCTTTTTCTGTTCTCTTTTCATTTTTGGTGTGTAGTTTGGAGACCTAGGGAGAACAGGTTTTCGAGAATCTTTTGGGGAAGCTGACACCATTAAAAAGAGGGGCTCATTAGCGACGCATAAGAAAAAGCATAATTGAATTCCGATACCAGACGAGCCCGAACGAGCCCAAACCGTGAAGTCATGCAAAGCTGCCGGGGGCCTTAGCGCCGCTAAGGCCTGTGTGGATAGAGGCATTTTGGAAGCTTAGCGGGACAGAGGCTAACAGCTAAGAAGGCTTAGCGCTACTAACCCCTTAGCGGCGCTAAGGCCTGTTTTGTAACTGACGCAATTTTCGTGGATTTTGAATGGGAAAATGATATTAGATCGAGCTAGGGCAGTTTTCACTCATCTTTGAACGTTGTTTTTCGTCCTTTTTCACAGCAAGAACATAATTTCACTTGGGTTTTACTTAGATTTAATTTTGGAGAGTGAAAAACTCCCTTTATCTGTCGGATTTGGATTGCTATCGGGATTTTGACATTGAATTTCGTATTAAACGTAAGTTCTCTTTTTATTTTCATTGATGAATGTTATGGCTTTCTTTGATGAGAATATGATTGTTGAGTTTATGATGAGTAGCTAAATTCGATAACTAGGGTTAGAGGATAATTGTTCCGGTTCAATTTCATTTTTGTGAATGTTGATTGCTCAATCTAGACGAGTTAGGCTAAACCTAGGGTTGAATGTCTGATCACCATTTAATCTACTTAATCGATTTTAGAACCGAAAGGGGAGAAATCGATCGACCTCGGCTTGTTTAGAATAGACTTGTTCGGAAGCGTATTGTCTATGTGTTAATGAATTCGATAATTGCTCGTTTACGTTTATTCTCTTGTTTCGTGAGATATTGAGAATGAATCTGTAGATGAATTGGTTATTGCTTGTTCATTAGCTGAGTAGTTAATTGCCCGTTTAATGTATGAGAATCGGAAACGATTGTCCCCGACACCCTAGTCCGTTTATACCATTTGAATTTAAACTTTGATTTACGAGTTTGAAATAGCTAGTTTCGTTCTTATTATTCGTAGTTGATAATCAAAACCATCTATTTGAATTAGAGTGTTTAGGACTTGTTTCTTATTTCGTGTGTTTGAATATACGTGCAAAATAATCCGGCTGACCTTCCTTGTGATACGACCCGGTGCTCGAATCTCTTGATTCTACTCCGGTAAAAATATTTACAAAAAGATCAAACACCAAAACTAAATATCCTACTTGTCTTCCCCAGAAACGGCGCCAAATTTGTTGTAGCAAATTATATTTTTATGGAGTACCAATCTAACGATTCGATTCCCGGGTTGATCTCTCGAGGAGGGCGTTTCAGAATTTAGCAATGGTGTTGATAACACAAGAAGAGAAAATAAACCTAAACACTCTAAATCAGATGATGGAGATAATAATTAACTAAGGGAAAGCATGAAAATTAATCTACCTAAAATGAAAATTGAAAAGCAATAAAGAAGCTAGGGAGTCGGGGATATCCGTTTTGGTTCAAAGAGCAAGTGTCGAGCAAGAGATCAATCGGTTAAAAGGAATCGATAACTTATTCGTTCAGAGATTCGTCCTCAATAACTTTTCGTAACAAGAGGTTGAACATGAACGATAAATCAACGAGCCTTTTAACACATTGGCAATACATTTACGAAAAAGCCAATTTCATATGAGCCATGGTCTATCGACTCCTCCTCTTTCGATTCAATGAATAGATTAATTAGCCTAGATAGTTTTTAATCAATCTAAACAAAGGGATCAACACAAATATGCAAGAATGAATCAAACCCCAATCAACAAGTAATTTTAAATTGAAGTGTCACTATTTCAATAATTCTCATCATTCAAGCACAATTTCATCAAACCCTAATTAAGAACAACTCACACAAAATGAATGAGCATCAAGCACAACAATCACAATTGAATTCAAAACATCAATCCCCTATCCCCTAGCATAGAGATTTAGCTACTCATATTCAAGATTAAACAATCAACCATACAAACCCAAGCTTCCATAATCAAAGATCAATTGAAAAGAGAAACTTATAATTTAGATGAAATTAAAGGTTTAATCCAAGAACAGGATAAATCTCCAAATGATGATGAAATCCAACATTAATATAGTGTTCTTAGGGTAATAGAAGGGGGAAAAAACGAGTTTGGGGGATTCATTTCGGTCTGGGAACGAGTCCCAATGCCAAGTACTCGGAAAAATGAATAAAATCAAGTTTATAAAAATCTGGTCGTGACCTCCGCGGCCGCGGGGAGCTCGAGGCCACGAGATTTCAGCTGCAGAAGGGCTTCGCGGCCGCGGGATTTCTCCGCTGCCCGCGGTGAAGAAATCTGGACTGCTGCGCGTGACTTTACGTTTTGGGCTCGTTTGAGCTCGTTCGAACTCAGAATTGAGTTCCGTTTTTTCCTACGCATCGCTAACGAGCCCCTCCTTCTAATGGTGTCAGCTTCCCCAAAAGATTCTCGAAAACTTATTCTCCCGGGTCTCCAAACTACACACCAAAAACGAAAAGAGAACAGAGAAAGACTAGAAAACAAACGAAAAACACCGCAACACTCAAATGAATGCAAAACACATAATAAATGACAAAAATATCCTAAAACCACCTAAACAACTCAATACGGGGGAAAAGAACGATAAAATAATGACTAAAAACGACACAAAATAGGACAAACATTTTCCATGCCTACACTATGCAAAGGAGAAAAGCCAACTATATTTCCAGGCTAATCCGCGAAGATAATGTGATATATGAAGCAAAAACAGACATTGAGGGCTTTCATTGCTGACTTCTAAAGCCACCTCTTCTGCTCAGAAGGTTCATGGAAAGCTGAAGGACTCCTTGACTGCATTCAAACCTCCATCACCAGCTCTTTCACCTCATCTCTTTTGGCTAAAATATGGGAGACTGAGATAAAGAGATTCCTTGACAACATGAACCCAAATAAGGCCTCAGGCCTTGATGCTATGTCACCTCTTTTCTATCAAAAGTATTGGAACATTATTAAATCTAATCTTTGCTCTGCTACTCAAACAATTTGGAATCTTGCACCCTTGAGCAGGAACAACACTCAACCTCAAACTCCATGTTTCAAGCACTGGTGGAGGGACATTTGCCTAGCAAAAGGTCAGACCGTTGTTGATAGGATTGAGCTCACCACATACATTCTGTGGTGGCTCTGAAAATTCAGGAACCTATGGATCTTCAAGCAATCTTGGCTGCCAGAAAAGGAGACCATCAAAGTTGCTCTCCTGAAATGGCAGGAATTCTCCTCAGTTCACCTTTTGAGTTGATGTGTTTATCTTTATTTTCTATTGGTCTTCCTTCTTAGTTGTGGTTTGTGTTGCCTTAGTCTGCTCTAGTGATCTTCTGTGTTTCCCCTGTCATTCCCTAGCTAGGTTCTTCGGTTCAGTGGCTAGTATTTTTTTTTTTTTGTATGTAAACCTAGATAGCTTGGCTAAAGGTTCCAATATCTTTACTGCTTATCTGGGTTTGCATTATTTAATTTTCCTAGTGGAACTCCTGATTTGCATAAATCATTTAACCTCTCGAACGCTGTATATTTCTTGAAGTTTATTAATCTTTACCGTTTCGAAAGAAAAAAAATCTTAGAAATGGGCAGAAGTTTTT